GACTAGTCTCCAGCAGTAAGCTAGGCTGAAAGCAAAGCAAGTGTTCATTTCATAATCGCTTTTGCAGATAGGCTTTCGGACTCTCAAAAAGAAAAAAAATTACTGTCCATTTGGCTTTTAGGCTGTTTTATATTTTAGAATTTTTATAAATTTGTCTTCCTATGTAGATTTCTGTTGCTGCCTCAATACATATTTGAGCATCTACCAGGAGCCAGTAATCCCAGTACTAAGCACCACACTCTGCACTGTAGACCCCTCAGCCATCCTTCACGGGACACGGTCCATTCAGGGGGCACTTCTCCTAGTATTAAGGGTGAAATCAAGGTTTTTCTCAAGGGCATGAGAAAAAGTGAAAATTGTGTTTTCAGCTTGCTGCTGTTTAGCAGACAGAGCTCAAGCAGAACATCTGAGCATTTATTCTTGAAGGCACTGGTTCTTTTTTCCTCTCCAACAGCCACTGGAGGGAGGGGGATGTGAAAAGCAATATGATCAGAATGTAATGAAGCAACAGACCTCCCTGGGAGTCAGATACCATTGTTAAAAAAAAAAAAAAGCCCCCGTAAGCAGAAGCCTCAAAATCAGAGGCTTCCCCCAGTGTTCTTTGAATCCATTTTTAAAGCTATTAAAGCGCCCTTAAAATAAGCCTGCCATCAAGTGAGGACAGGAGGAGGGTTACCCATCTTTCCACCACCATCTGCAGGGCCAGCTCTGCTTTAGGCTTCTTTGAGCCCCACTCCCCTGCCTCCAGCCCGTTCTTTACAACATGTCAGCGTGGGGTTGATTATAGTCTCTCTCTCTAACTTAGCAAAATTCAGTTACAATTAAAATTTGAAGTGAACTGAAGAGAGACCACAATGCATTTTATTCTCCCATTTTCACATTTGGTAATAATAGTTTCTGTGTGCTAGGCCCATTGTAATTTTCAGTGTGAGTTTGGATCAGGTCACTTTGTGAGTAGGGTCAGGGCTCAGCCCTTATCTAGGATGAGAGCTCACGCTGCTACTGGGATCATGGCTCAGACTGTGGTTGGGATCAGGGTTCATCCTCTAGCTGTGATTAGGGCTCCGTCTGTGGTGGGCTGTGAGTATGGTCTATGACTAGGGCAGAGACCTGTCTCTGATTAGCATTAGGGCCCAGTCTGCTCTGGAATTGGGTCTCAGCCTGTAGCAGAGATCAGATTCGTTTGTGGTGAGCACTAGGATTCATTCAGTGGCTGGGAAGAGGGATCTATTCCAGGAAAGAAGGGCGGGGAGCATTGGTCAGGAGTCCTAAGTCCTAAGGGTCCATTGAGGAGCTGTTAAGCCAGGGGTCTGAGCAGATGGGGAACCAGAGAAACAAGGGGGAGATCAAAACAGAGTTGGCGGCTCCCATCAAGATGGCTCAAATTAAAAGGACTGGCAATCCCAAGCGTGAATGAGGATGTGGGACAGCTGGAACTTTCTTCTGTTGCTGGTGGGAGTATAAATGGTACATCTACATTGGCCAACTGCTTGACAGTCTATATAAAGCTAAGTATATGTATATCCTACAGTTCAGCACTTCTGCTCCTGGTGTGAGCAGATGACAGCTGCACACAGCATGGGTGAAGCTCATGAAATAGTGTTGAGCAAAAGGAGCCAGACACCAATGAGAAGATACTTTATGATTCCACTTATGTGAAGTTCAAAAACAGGCAAAATTAATCTATGACGATAGAAGTCAGTAGTGGTAATATTTAGGGGGTGCTATGGACTGTAGTGGGCATGCAGGAGCCTTCTGGAAAGATGGTATCATTTGTATTTTGAACTGGATGGTAGTTACACGATAAACAACTATAAAAATTTGTTGAGGTGAACATTTAACATTTGTACACTTCGCTACGCGTAAGTTATGTCTCAGTGAGGAAAAAGGAAAGTAGATGAAACAGTATAGGTGCATGGTTGGTAAAGACTGGTTTGAGAGTTGACTCCACAGTCATGACCTTTCTGCCATGACAATTGTGATGTTACTGCCATGGTTTGTTGAGCCTGGGTGTAAGCCCGGGGGTATTGGGAGTGGGAGGGTGCAGCCTTGAAGTAACCATCCTGAGCAATGATGTAGTGTAAAAAGCCACAGACTAGGAGCCAGAAGTCCTGGGTCTGGATCTCAGCCCTCTGCTGGGCACCTAATCCTGTGTAAAGCACAAGTGTGTTGTGATCAGTCATGAGGTGAGTTACAAATTACTCACTGGTGATTATAAATCACTGAAGCTTTTAATAATTTTCTCAACTCATTTGAATACATAATACATGCATTTGGTTGAAAACAAAATAAATCTTATAAAAGCGTATACAGTGAACAGTCCATTTTCCTCCCATCCCTGACTCCAAACACCCGTTCCGCAGTCTCCCTCTTGAGAGGCAACCACTGTCATCAGCTTCGTAAATATCCTTCCAGAGATAGTCTATGCATATTCATGAATGACTTCCTTGAAGAAACTCAGAGCAGATTCAAGGCATGACTACAATAATGTTGCCTGCATAGTTTTATTTTCAAAATGGAATTAAGTTTTCATTATGAAAATAATACATGCTTATTTAAAAATTGCATAAAGCAAAAGTGAAATCTCCCTCCCCCGACTTTACCACCTCTCACTCCTCAATTCCAGTGTTAACCACTGTTAACAGTTTCCTCTGTGGCCTTTCTGACAACTTTAGGTGAGTAAACACACATAGGATATTACTATAAAGAGTCAATTTGTAATCTGATTTTTTAAATAACAATATATCAAAGATCTATTTCCACCTCAATTACCCCTAGCTCTACTTGCCCTTCTTAATGGCTTCATAGCATCAAATACTCTGCAGTAGGAGAGAAAGGGATGAAGACATGGCAGGAGTTACACATGGGAGTGTGTCCACCTGAAAGCATCATCTGTCATACATATCTCAGAAGAAAAAATGTTGGAAGAAGCTGATTTAACCAATCTGGGCCTCAGTTTCTAATCTGCAAAATGGAGATAGTAATGAGAGCCCTGACTATCTCAGAAGATTAGGTAGGTTACCTCACAAGGATTACATAGAGAGAAGGAGAATTGAGGGCAGAGTACTTGGAAAATAGGTGCTGTGCAAATGTGAGACACTGTTGTTCCTGGAGGGGAGAAGGAGGGGAGGCATTAGTTCCAGGGTCCATAGTCTTACAAACGACACTAATTATAATTGCTTTTCCTGCCCTTCTTGGCCACGTGAACCGTTCATCTTTGCATAATAATTGTGAACATTTGTTGAGTTCTTCCTTTGCCAGGCATTCTTCTAAGATATATGTATAAAATCTTCATTTAATCCCTCCAACTGCTCTGTGAGATAGGCACTCTTATTATCCTCATTGGACTGATGAGGCAGCTGTGGCTGACACAGCTGGCAAGTGGTGGTCGTACTTCTAAACTGCACCAAACTCTGTGCTATCCATTTTGGAGGCTTTTGCCATGCTTCCACTATGTCGTTGGCGTGTGAGTTAAGCTGGTAGTTGAGGTGTATGCGTTGGAGAAAGGTGTGGCTCATTCCACTGATACTAAAAACTTAAAAGCAACTGATGATAAAAACCCTGAGTCTCGTAGGGAGTCACACAGGTAGTCATACTGCTTCGAGAAGCTTCATGACTCTCCTCTGCTAAATAAAAACCAAACTCCTCATCCTGGTGTTCCAGGCCTTTCTTAGCCTGATCAAATAACCTTTCCACGCCTTTGTCCTATACTACGGGAACTTCTAAAACTGTTTTCTCCATTTTTTCATACCTGTCTGGGACCCTGTTATGGGCTGAATTGTGTATCCTGAAAAAAAAAGGTATGTTGAGGGGCCGGTTCCGTGGCACAGTGGTTAAGTTCAGCATGCTCTTCTTCGGTGGCTTGGGTTTGGAGGTTCAGATCCCAGGTGCATATGTACACCACTCCTTAACAATTATGTGGTGGTGACCCCCATATAAAATAGAGGACGATTGGCACAGATGTTAGCTCAGGGCTAATCTTCCTCAGCAAAAAAAAAAAAAAGGAATATTGGCAACAAAGTTAGCTCAGCGTGAATCTTCCTTGAAAAAAAAGAAAAATATTTTTTAAAAAAGGTATGTTGATGTTCTAACACCAGATACTTCAGAATATGACTTTGTTTGGAAATAGAGTCATTACAGATGTAATTAGTTATGATGAAGTCATACTGGAGTAGGGTGGACCCCTAATGCAATATGACTGGCATCCTTATAAGAAGATGGCCACGTAAAGAAACCAACAGGGAGAATACCATGTGACCATGAGGCAGCTCAGAGTCATGCAGCTGCAAGCCAAGGAAGGCCAATGATTGCCATATACCACCAGCAGCCAGGAGGAGGCAAGGAAGGATTCCCCTACAGGCTCAGAGGGAGTGAGGTCCTGCCGATACCTTCATTTGGAGTTTCTCACCTCCAGAACGGTGAGGCAATACATTTCTGTTATTTTAAGCCACCCAGCCAATAGTACTTTGTTACCATAGTCCCAGGAAACTAATACAGAGCCTCAGTCATTTAACTCCAACGCTGCAGATCTGAGCCCAAGATGCATCAGGCCTTCCTTCTCCTGTCCCATTCCTGTTCTCCTAGCTGGCCATAGCATCCTTGGCAGTTTGCTTGTACAACACTCAGACAATCACACCAATGATATTCCCTTCTCTTCTGGCAGGCAGCATGCCAGTGGTCTGTTTACTTCCAAACATGCCCTGTACTGGGCAGTCAGGTCCCCTGCCCCGTGAACTCTTCCTGTTTTAGGAACAGCCCAACCCCTCTGGGCAGACAGTAGACTGAAGTCCTCTTCTGGGTTGCCTAGGCAACAGTGCCTTCTGAGTGCCCTAGAGCCAGGCAGCTGTGGCTGCGGGAAAGGGAGAGACCAAGGGAAGAGGGGAGGGAGTGCAAGGATGTAGGGGGACGACCCAAGGAGACTCCTTAAAAATAGCTCTAGTATAAACCCAGAAGGTGAAATTAAAACCACCGCCTCATCATAAGCAGCATTATAAAGCACCATGCAAGAGGTGAGATGGAGAGGAAAGACTTTACTCAGGGAGTTCCATACGGAGCTCAACTCTGTTGGTCTCTGAGTTCATACCTATGCTTTGCGGCCTTTTGACAGCGTGAGAGATCAAAAGACAACAAAATTTAGGCAGATGGGGACTGGCATTTTGCACACCAAGGACGAATCTTCTATGAATTGCCTTAAGATGCACAGTAAATAAAGAGAAAGATGCTTGTGATTTTTAGTTCACAATAAGCAATGCCTGCTGTGTGCCAGGGAACATGCAGGGTGCTGCGTATGTCGGGTGGGAGTACAGGGAGGAGCAAGATGTTAACACTTGCCCTCAAGCACATAGTCCTTCTTTCAATCATCACCGCAGGAATGGACTTCTATAATACCATGCTGGCACACTCCAAGACAATTCTTCCCAGTCCATGGGGTTAATTAGGGCTTCAGGGGGGCAAAGGACTCAGCCCTAATCAATCAGGTCATCACACTGCCCTGGCCTCAGATCGGTACGGGGGGCACGTAGCCAATCTTAGCCAATGGAAAGTAGTGAGTCCTTTGCTAGGATTGCGGAGAGGGATACGTGTTCTCTCTTCTGTGCTAGGAGCTGCCACCACCCTCTTGCCACCACATGGAATCTCATCTGAAGCCAACATGGTGGTGAGCACAGCTGAAAGATGGAGGAAGATTGGGAGCTGATGACATCATTTGAGCCCTTGAATGGAGCCATGCCACATCTACCCCAGATTTGGAGTTATAGAAGTCAATAAATTCTATGTTTCTTAAGTTGGTTTATGTTACCTCCAGTTCAAAATGTTCAATAAAATAGATATTAGAAAATCTTTTAACTGATTAACCAGGTTAACCAATGCTTTCCATTCCGTGTAAAATATAGTACCAAATTAAGCCTCTGTATACCGAACTTTGTCCCCAAACCTGTTTATGTTAGTTGTATTTATTACTGCAGTTATGTTTTTAATTAAATAGTAAGTAAACTGCAGAAACACAAGTACAAAAGGAAAGATAGCTCCTCCTTCTATGAAAGCTAAGTTAAATGCTTCCGAAAGATAATGCTTTCACTTGATAAAAAGTGAGTATTTCAAAATTGCTTTTGGGATAGATATGGATATATACATAGTTAAAAATGAAACAATAAAAACTTGGATGGGTTTTACACTCAGCTTTGGAAGCTTCTTTAGGTTCTTTTTACCCTCTAAAGAAACCAATGCTGGAAATAGTGGATGATGCATACTGGGTGAGAAAGGCTATTGTCTCAAAAAGGAGCCTTGCAGCTTCCACCTGGGACACTTGGAACAATTGCTCTGGGGAAGCTAGGTACCATGGAGGAAGTCTGTCTCTCCTGAGACTACCATGCTCAGTAGGGATTAGGAATCCCAACCTAGCCACATTGAGAGAGAGGGACACCCTGCTAATCCCCAGCTTTGCCAGCCATCTCAGTTTAGGTACCAGAAAAGCGAGGGAGGAAGCCATCCTAGATATCTAGCCCAGATGAGCTTTCAGATGCCTCCACCCCAGCCACCATCTGACTGCAACCTTATAAGAGATTCTGAGTGAGAACCACCCAACTGAGCTCAGTCTACCTACAGAACCGTGAGAAATAATAATAAATTGTTATTTTTAGCCACTTAATGTTAGTTGGGTTTGTTGTACAGCAACAGATAACCAGTCTTTTGTGGATGAAAGAAGAGACTTACAAGAAAAGGGAGGTGGCCCCTAATGTCAAATATCAGAAGAAGATCATGCAGGGTGAGAAAAGGCCATTGCATTTAGCAATTGAAGAGTCACCATTGTCCTTCAAGCACTGCAGTTTTAATAAATGGTGGCAGCAGAAGGCAAATTGGAAGTGTTCATAGGGCAAGTGAGGGGTAGGAAATAGATACAATGGTAGATTGGTCTTTTTCTGTCTTACTTTTTTAGTAGTTTTACATTCACTGATGATCCTTGCCTGAATCAATTATCTCATTGGAGATTGCAAAATGGTGATTTTCTAGTTCTATCAGTTCCTCTCTACTTATTAGCTGACTTTCTTCTATAAAGAAGAGTTTTCCCTCATCAATGGGAGATGAAATAATTTCTTCCTAAAATGGCAGATTCAATGTTTCATTCTTTCTCTTTACTTACCAATTTCCTGACAGAGGAGTTAGTGTCAGTATTTCCATTGGTGGCAAGTGAGTTTTTTTCTCCTTTCTCTCTTCCTTTCTCTCTTTGAGTATCATTATAGACTCATGTGTAGACTCATCTCTCACCTTTATTCAATGTGTTAGGATCAATTCTGGGCTAAATTAGTCTTTAAAGAAGCAATGGAGGATGGGTGTAAGAGTGTGATCAGAAAATTCTTGGAAGAATATAGTGGTTAAAGAAATACACATATACATATTTATCCTTATCAATAATCAAAAAGTGAAAATCACAACATAAAAGAGAAAAAAATTGGTTATATATCCAATTCTGCTACTGGATATATGACCCAGAGAAATTCTCACATAGGCCTCATAAGGGAAGCGTATAAAGATATTCACAGCAGCTTTGTTTTTGGCTGTGGGGAGTTGGAGACAATTTGTGTCCATAAGTGAAGTCCTTAGGTAAAATGTGGTGGATGGAGTACTATGCAATAGTTAGAAACAATGGGCTAGATCTTAAAAACATGTTGCTGCAAGGAAGAAAAAAAAGAGGGGCCAGCCGGGTGGCGCAGCGAAGTGTGCATGTTCCGCTTCGGCGGCCTGGGGTTCGCTGGTTCGGATCCTGGGTGCAGACATGGCACCGCTTGGCAAAAGCCATGCTGTGGTAGGCATCCTATGTATAAAGCAGAAGAAGATGGACACGGATGTTAGCTCACAGCCAGTCTTCCTCAGCGAATAGGGGAGGATTGGCAGCAGTTAGCTCAGGGCTAATCTTCCTCAAAAAAAGAAAAAAATATATCGTACAGTACTATTTACATAAGAAAAAAATACATGCAGTTAAAACAGTAATACACATTTAAAATAAACACAAACAAAAAGATATACACTAAACACACTGGAGTCATTTCCTATGGTGGGAAAGGGGAATGAGATTGGAGAATATTGATAAAAGAGAATAGTAAATAAATAAATGAAACCAATGCCGGAGGCTTTGCAAATGAGGAATAGGATCAACTCAATCCTTATATTTAAGTAGAAATCAAGAAATGATTAAATAAGCAAATTGCTACAATTTTTCTGGAAAGTAAAACCTTTAAAAATATTGACCTAGCAATTCTAGTTTTAGGAATCTAGCCTAAGGAAATAGAAACTCATGCTTATTAGCGTTACAAGAGTGAGAAAAAGGTCAGCGTGTGTTCTTTTGCCCTCCCCTACACCCTGCAATACGCATCACCAGGTGTTTCAGGGGAACCTCGGAGGTGTTTCACAGGTGTTTGTGATGGGCTTGTGAACAAGTGTAGTCAGGAGGTGTTGGTGGTTAAATTCATCATCTCCGGCTCCAGCCCCTTCCATTTGGCATTGCTATTTCCACTGCCTTTGCTCGGCAGGATTACGACTGCTCCTGAGTTCCACCTCGTCTGGAGTCCTTCTGTTGCTAAGGCTGCAGAGTCTTCTTCTGTGGTGTAGTTGAGACTATCTTGCTCTTCTTTTAGTTTTACTTACTATTAGAATACTATGGTTGTGTGACAATTTTTCAGGAGATAACTCTTTCGGTATTTTCTTATAGTCTCTCTCCTCTCTCTACCCTCCACCTCAAAATTTGCAAACCAAGCTAGAAGACAAGTGCAAGTAATAGATATGCTGGGCTTAAAAGTGAAATGGGAAATGCAAGGCAAAACCACAATGAGATACCACCTTACACCCATTAGGATGGCTAATATATATTTTTTAAGAAGGAAAATAACAAGTGTTGATGAAGATGTGGAGAAATTGGAACCTTTGTGCATTGTTGGTGGGAATGTAAAATAGTGCAGCCACTATGGAAAATAGTTTGGTGGTTCCTCGAAAATTCAAGCATAGAATTACCATATGATGCAGCAATTCCACTTCTATTCAAAAGAATTGAAAGCAGGGCTCAAATAGATACATCTACACCAATTCATAGCAATATTATTCACAATAGCCCAAAGGTAGAAGCAACATAAATTTCCATTGATAGATGAGCGATGGATAAACAAAGTGTGGTATATACATACAGTGGAATATTATTCAGCTTTAAAACAGAATAAAATTGATACATGCTACAACATAGTTGAACTTTGAAAACATTATGCTAAGTGAAATAAGCCAGACACAAAAGGACAATTATTGTTGATTCCATTTGTATGAAGTACCTAAAATAGGCAAATTCATAGAGACAGAAAGTAGAATAGAGGTACCAGGGGCTGCGGGGAGGAGAGAATGGGAGAGTTATTGTTTAATAGGCACAGAATTTCTGTTTGGGATGATAAAACATTCTGGAAATGGATGGTGGTGATGGTTGAATAACATTGTGAATGTAGTTTCTATGGACTGAATTGTGTCCCCCACAAATTTATATGTTGAAGTCCTAACACCCAGTGTGGTAATATTTGGAGATGGGGCCTTTGGGAGATAATTAGGTTTTGAGGTCATGAGGGTGGGGCCCTCAAGATGAGATTAGTGCCCTTATAAGAAGAGACACGAGAGAGTTTGCTCTCTCTCTCTTCCCACCACCTGAGGTCACAGCAAGACGCTGGCCACCTATAAGCCAGGAAGAGAGCTCTCATCAGAAACTGACCGTGTTGGCACCTTGATCTTGGACTTCTAGTCTCCAGTCTTCTAGTCTGGAGGAAAACACATTTCTGTTGTTTAAGCCACCAGCCTATGGTATATTTTTATGACAGCCTCAGTTAAGTCAGTAATTAATGCCACTGAATTGTATACTTGAAAATGGTTAAAATGACAAAATTACATTATGTATACTCTACCACAATTTTAAAAAAAAAGGAAACAAAAAGTGAAATGGGCAATCTGCCGTCTTGCCTCTCCTTTGTAAATCTCTGGATACGAATCTCAGAAGGACGTTAGTAATTGTAGACTCCCTCAGCCCCTGGGCCTTATATGGATGAGGAGAGGGAGGGTTACAGTGAAACTGGCAGAGAGTTAGTCATTGATGACTAAGTACCTAGGAACTACAGTTTTTTTCCTTTTTGCAACTACTGATTATAGCTTTTAGCTGTTTAACCACCCATTGTTAACTGTGCTGTTTAGGCAATATGCTATCTGACTCCCACTAGGCTTCTACAGATAACATCTTCTTGGAGCCTGAGTCACCATGGTAATGGGTATGTGACCTGTTTTTCAGGAATTAGAACCCCTTTGTCCACTCCAGGCCAGTCGAGACCACCAACTCATCAACTGGGCCCATGCAGATGTCTGATAGATGACCTTTTGATGCCAAGAGGCTAAAAACTCTACCCTCAGATCATGAGAACATCGCCATTTTGTGAACATGGGTCTTTTGAAGAGCCATGAAGTCTGACGACGCTTGTGCAGGTCATCAATTACCTCACCTCTCCTCGCCTCCAATCACCTATCTCCACATTTCAGATTGCCTTGCCCCCTATCCCATTGATGAGTGCTTGGCGAGCTAAGGAGTCAAAAGAAAGATTTCTTGGACTCAAAGTCTGGTAGTAGTGCTTTTTTATTGAGAAAATAGCATGCGGACAGGACCCATGGGCAGTGAAGAGCTGCAATGTGTTGAGGGTTAGGACTAAATTTATAAGGCGTGGATACGTGACTTATTTTTACTAGACAAAGGAAAGATCATGTAAAAAGTCATTAAAATGGTGTCAGTGCAGGTGGCGTCTGGCTATCATGCAGTCGTATAACTTTAGATATGAATCGGATCATACAGATTGGCATGTAGGCCAGGATGCCTTGGGCTTCTCTCCCTGGGGCAGCCTTAATCCACGTCACCATAAATATCCCTGATTCCGTATTTTTGGGGAAGTGGATGTGAGACTCATGCTCTCACTTCCTCGCATGGCTGCTTTGTGATTAAACCCTCTCTCTGCTGCAATCTCATCGTCTCAGTGTTTGGCTTTCTGAGCAGCGGGCAAAAGCAAACCTGGTTTGGTAACAACAGAAATGAACTGATTTCACCAGGATCATAGTTCTCTGTTCCTCTATCTTTTGGAATGGCAATACTATCACCCAGCTGCCCAAGCCCAAAATCCTTCTCCTTGATCCTCTCTCATCTTCCTCAGCAGCTATGTCCTGGTGATTCTAACACCTTATTATCTCTGTATTCCTACCATCTCTGCCTCAGTTTGTGTCACTTTCATCCCTTGCCAAATAGCTTTCTAGCCAGTTTTATTGCTTCTCTTCTTGTTCCTCTGCAATCCATTTTCTTCACAGCAGCCAGTCTTGCCAAAATTCAATCTGATCATGTCATTCTCTCACTAAACCCTATAACAGCTCCCTTTACCTACTTGGGTTGAGTCCAAATGCATTCAAGACTCTTCATGGTCTCCTCTTCTGGTCTCCTCTTAACCTGCCACTCATCACCTTGGCTGTGCTCCAGCCCTATGTAACTTGTGGTTTCCTAAACGCATCATGCTCTTTTTTCTTCCTGATGATTGCTGGCGATGGAAAATTTCAGAGATAAAGATGACAGCACATCTGAACGTTGCCCATTCTTTCTTTTGCACCCCTTAACTAGCAAGGTGAGGAGGCCCAAGGCCTGGCCTGGCCCTCTCCTTTGTTTCTTCTTTGCCTGCAAGGCAGCCTCAGTGGGCTCCTTTTTTTTTTTAATTTTAATTTAATTTAACTTAATTTTTTGAGGAAGATTAGCCCTGAGCTAACTGCTGCCAATCCTCCTCTTTTCACTGAGGAAGACTGGCCCTGAGCTAATATCCGTGCCCATCTTCCTCTACTTCATACATGGGATGCCTACCAGAGCATGGCTTGCCAAGCGGTGCCATGTCCGTTCCCGGGATCTGAGCTGGCGAACCCCCGGCCGCTGGCCGCCGAAGAGGAATGTGTGCATTTAACTGCTGCGCCACCAGGCTGGCCCCAGTGGGCTCCTTTAGTTACTGGATTAAACCGCTTGCCAGCTCCTTTTCTTCTAGGGCTGTTGGGCAAGGCGTTTGACCAAATTGGAATTGTAAAAGCTTCAACTGGGGTTTGGACTTTGCGATGAAAATAGGTGTGATTTTGTTCAAGGCTGCTGAGCCATATCAAAAGAGAGAAGAATGCCATAGTTTACAGGCATGGTTTATGGGCATTCTATGGTGGACATTGGGACTGAAGCCCCAACTTGTAATATGATGTTGTCAACACAAATAATCCATAACCAATCTATAAATGAAAACTGGGGCGATTTTATTATGAGCCAGATCTGAGGACTAGCCGGAGGCCTTCCTTCCCCAAGGAGAGAAGGGCACCAAAGAAGTGAGGTGTACAGAGTGTTTATATACTGTCTTGGAACAAAGAGCCTACATCACATATGATAGGAATGCCCTTTTCACAACAGTCACGAGATTGCCTAGCTGGCACAGCACAGCTATTCACACAGCAGGTAGCAGGTCTGCTGTCTGGAGCTAGGTGGTCACAGTGCGGGCGCAGCAATCGATTTCTAGCCTAGGGAGAGATGCTTATCCTTAAGGAAATGCCAATGTGGGGGAAGTTGCATTTTTATCTTAAGGACATTTGTTCTTGTCTTTGGGACACAGCAAATGCTTAAAGCAGATGTACAATGCATGCTCAGCCTCATCAGACCCTTTTGGAAAGACAGGCAGAATTAGTTTAACACCAAATGGCTTCCTTTTATATTCCAGTATATCCTATTACTTGCCATTTATTTATCAATGTTATCTGCCTCCTCTGTGACCAGAAAATCAAGAACGAGATTCAGGAAATACTAGGTCCCTTGGCCAATTATAGTCTTAACGTCTTCCCACTCCACTTTTCCCCATCCTGCTCTACCTGGTAAACTCCTACTCATTTCTAACTTCTAAGAACATATCTCACCGTTCTCCAAGGAGGTTGTCACATCTTTGAAGGCCTGGACTTTACCTTCATCACTGTATCCCCAGTGCCTAACATTGCTGATGACTGAATGAAAGGCCATGCACCTCCTAAGTGTCAGGGTGGAATCCGAAAGGTCTGTTGCCAAAGACTCCTTGACACTTCTCTCTCATGGGGCCAGCCTACCACTGTCACACTGGGCCTTGTCAACTTGCAGCTGTCTCTGCTCAGTCCCCAAGTGGTGGCTGCATGTGGGGAAAGGCTGAGGATAATACTTTATTGAAACGATCTAGTCAGCAATTTAGCTGTGCCCTGACCCACATGGCTGTATTTAGAGGCACTCTCAGCACATGGCTGAGTTACCTTGCTCCTTTGTGGCTTTGATACTGGAGTCAGAGAAACAGAAAAGGAAATGGGTTCAGTGACCAGCATCACATCTGTCGACGAAAATAATCCATAACCAATCTATAAATGAAAATTTGGGTGAGTTTATTCTGAGCTTAAATCTGAGGATTATAACCCAGGGCCTTTCTTCCCGAAGGAAGAAAGGGCACCAAAGAAGTGGGGTGCACCGAGTGGTTATATACCCCCAGAGAGGATGTTTCACATAGGATTGAAATGTCCCTTTTACAATAGTCGCGAGACTGCTCTGTCAGCACAGCAATTGATGGGCACAGCAGGTAGGTCTGCTGACTCGGTGAACACAGCAGGGTGGCAGTTCTGTTGTCTCCAGCTGTGTGGTCAAAGGTGAGCTGGGTGGTCAAAGGTGAGTGCAGCAATCAGTTCCTAGCCTGAGGAATGAAAGATGCTTATCCCTAAGGAAATGCCACTGTGGGGGGAAGTTGCACCTTTTTCTCAAGGGCCTTTGTTCTGGCCATAGGAAATGTGTAAGCGGATATACAATGTGTGCGCAACAGCCACAGTCAGGACCTTTTGGAAAACACAAAGTCAGGCCGAATTAGTTTTATACCAAATGGCTTCCTCGTATACTCCAATATATCCTATTACTCCAATATATCCATTTTTATTTGTCACATCCAAGGAGGGGAGGGTGGCCAAGGGGGTCAAGAATCTGCAGGCTTCTTCTCTCAGGAAAACTGTCAGCACAGGTCAAAAGCCTTTCCTCACCTCACAGCCTCTCCCTCTTTTGAGACTGAGCCGGACTGGGTGGGATAGTTTCCCGTAACTCTTTTAACAACAACGGCGTTTAAAGTAAGAAAGAAGAGAAAGAGAAAGGGGCGAGCGGCCAGGGCTGAGCCAGGCTGGCCTCTGCTCCTAATTCAAGTCGGCTCTCTAGACTCCGAGAAGGTGGCGCGTCTCCCTCTCTCTCGGTTCCGCCTCTGCTGTCCCCTCCCGGCGGGGGGCTGATTTCTCACTGACACGCAGCCTGAGGAGGGGAGAGAGTTTCCTCCTAAGTGTCCGAACGGGAAAACTGGGAGGAGGCAGGGGCTGGCCCCGTGGCCGAGTGGTTAAGTTCGCGCGCTCCGCTGCAGGCGGCCCAGTGTTTCGCTGGTTCGAATCCTGGGCGCGGACATGGCACTGGTCGTCAGACCACGCTGAGGCAGCGTCCGACATGCCACAACTAGAAGGACCCACAACGAAGAATATACAACTATGTACTGGGGGGCTTTGGGGAGAAAAAGGAAAAAAATAAAATCTTTAAAAAATAAAAAAATAAATAAAAATAAAAAAAAAAAGAATGTGTTTAAAAAAAAAAAAAAAAAAACTGGGAGGAGGCAGCCGGGAGCGGGAGCGGAGCGGAGACCGCGGCTCCAGCGTGGTGAGAGGAGGAGGAAGGAGGCCGAGGCTGCACAGCCGGGACCGGGAGGCGGCCGGGCGCGAACACAGGCGCCGAGGCAGCCGCGAGCGGAGCCCCAGGCACAGGCCGGCCTGCGGGGCGCGAGGCCTGGCCCCGGAAGCCCCTGCCGCGCCCCGGAGGCGGACCCTGGGCGGGACAACCCCCCCGAGAAGGGTTCTCCCGGCAGGCGGCCCTCAGCCGCCCCGCCCCGCGAGCAGCCCCGCCCCGGTGCCGCCCCGCCCCGGTGCCGCCCCGCCCCGGTGCCGCCCCGCCCCGGTGCCGCCCCGCCCCGGTGCCGCCCCGCCCCGGTGCCGCCCCGCCCCGGAGCCCAGCCCGGCGGCCCCGCCCTCTCCACAGCTCCGCCCCTTGTTCCGTCGCCGCCGCCGCCGCTTCCCGACTCCGCCTCCTCCCCCTCCCGGAGCCGCAGAGGCCTGCAGTCGGGCCCCAGGCTCAGCCGGCCGCGCTGGAGTCGAGTTGCAGCCTTAGCCGCTGCTCGCAGTCCCGCCGTGAGCGGAAGCGCTTCTGCTGCGGTCTCCGCCGCCGCCTCAGCCCTCCGGGCCACTGGCCTCTCCGGGCGGCCACGCAGGGTGGCGGCCCCTCCGGCCGAGCGCTGGGAGCGCGTACGGTGTCGGGAGCGGGCCAGACTGGCAGGGGTCTGGGGTGGTCTCGGAGAGGGGCGGGCAAGGGCGTGTGGTGCAGCCGCGCGGCCCGGCCGAGGGGAGGAGCGCGGTCTGGGGGAGCCTTGTGCGGCCCCGAGCCCCTGGGAGCCCTGCGTCCCCGCCGCACAGAGCGGCTCACGGAGCGTGCCTTCCCCCCGGGGGGCAGCTCCACGCCTCGGGCGGGCGGGGCAGGATCTCTCCAGGTCTCCGCTGGGCAAAGGGGGAAACTGAGGCTTACACAGCCGGCGAGAGTCGTAGCCTGGCTGGGACTCAGGGCCATCCTGGGCCGGCGCGGGCCTGAGCAGGGGGCTGGGAGGAGGAAGAGCCCCCACCCCCGAGAACCGGGAGAGGTTGATCGGGAGGAGGGGCGCCAGGCCCTGGGCCCAGGCAGGCCCACCCAACGCTGTATGGCCTGGCTTAGAAGACAGGATCTCTGGCGGCGTCGGACGGAGGTCAGGGGCCGCTTTGGGGGCTTGGTGGTGCCCTGGGGAGCCGCAGGGGGAGAGACTGCTGGAAGGGCTGTGCTCTCGGGGAAGAGGGCTTTCTTGAGCGAGGGGGAAGGAGCTTCAGAAACTTCTTAGCGCGGGGACCCTTTGGTTTCTGCCAGGCCACTTTCCCTACCGCTCCATGGACTAAAGCGTCCTAGCTGGGGTTACTAAGAGGGAGGCCAGCCTACTTTGGGGAGAGGCCGGTGAAGGTGTCTTTTTCACGAAATGACGCGAGTTTCGTTCATGCCTCAAACAGAAATGCACGTATGGCCCTGGTAAACTGCAACAGAAGGCCGAATGAGTTTTTTCCAGGTGGTCTGGACCTGTCACCCTTCGAGAACCTCCAGAGACAGGACAGCAGTCCCAGGCGAAGGGGGAAGGAAGCTGGGACGAATCACCCTCCTGCCTGGCATGTAACCGGGGGCCATGTACTGCATGCGATTCGTGTTTTTCTTTGGGGTGGGTGATTGAGTGGATTGTTTACTGTGGATGCATCTTGGAAAGGGAAGGAAGAGAGGACTTGGAGTTCTAAGGCGAGGGAGGGGGTGACATGTTATAGGCAATGAAGAGGGTCGTGTGGAGCTAGAAACCAGAAGCTGTAGAATGGGGAAAATGAGGGGACATGTAGTCATTGTGGGGGAAGGGAGATGAAAGGGTTGCTGAGGGGAGGGGGACAGTCTCTAGTCTGGAGACAAAGATGGGAGTCTTTCAAAGAGGGAGCGAAACTGATGAGTTTGAGAGGAGTCTGTTAGGAGTGGATAGTATCTTACAAGGTTGAGTAATAGCGGTTGGTCTGCAATCACTTCATTTTCTTTGAGTGAAGACAGTTGTAGTACTTTTATATACATGTTTTAGTTTTTGCACTCCCCACTCCCATTCTTTCTCCTGTTCTAAGGTTGCAGGCTGGTACTATTGTCTTGCAGGTAAGATTTGACAAAAGGGGAAGGGAGAGACTAATTAGCAAATGCATTAATTGGGGCCCTTTGTCCAAGATGATTCCGTGTTTAACTCAGATGTTTTCTTGCTGCATTCTGCACCTCAGCTTTCTAACTGTGATGACTTGGCGCGGTGGCTGGGGAAGAGCTGCCCTGATTCAGACAAGACGGGTTAGATTTTTCCAAACTGAGAAACACATATTTGACAGATATATATATATAAAAGCATGAAGATTTACTTGTCAAAGACTTATAACCATGGAAATGCAAATTGAAACAATGAGATACCATTTCACACCCATCTGATTGGCAGAAATTGAGTGACATGATAACCGTATTAGTAAGGTTGTGGGGAAATCAACTTTTATACACTGCTAGTGGGAATATAACTGGATCCAGCCGTGTTGAAGCGTAGTATAGTGATGTCTAATCGAAAGAGGGCAAACATACCTATTTACCCAAAATGTCCATTTTTGGTTATACTCAAAGAAATCCTTGCACACTTGTCCAAAAGAAGTACAAGAATGCTCATTGCAGCTTAAATGTCCACCAGCAGTGGAATACACAAATTGTTAGATAGTCCTGCACAATTGATGGTATAGCATGGTGAAAAACAATCTATAGCCACGTGGATTAAAATATTTGACTCTGAGAAATAGAAATGGCAAAAATTAGTATATATTGGAGTATATGAGGAAGCCATTTGGTGTAAACCTAAGTCAGCCTGACTTTGTTTTTTCCAAAAGGGCCTGACCTTGACTGTTGAGCACGGCAAGCACGCATTGTATCTCTGCTTTAAACATTTACTATGGCAAGAACAAATGGCCTTAAGATAAAGGTGCAGCTTCCCCCCACAGTGGCATTTCCTTAAGGATAAGCATCTTTCCTTAGGCTAGGAACTGATTACTGTGCTCACCTTTGACCACCCAGCTCACCTGTCACCACCCAGCTTGAGACAACAGACCTGCCACCCTGCTGTGGTCACCAAGTCAGCAGACCTACATGCTGTTTCCATCAATCGCTGTGCTGACAGAGCAGTTTGCGACTATTGTAAAAGGGACATTTCAATCCTATGTGAAACATCCTCTCTGGGGGTATATAACCACTCTGTGCACCCCACTTCTTCGGTTCCCTTTCTTCCTTTGGGAAGAAAGACCCCGGGCCATGGTCCTCACATTTTAGCTCAGAATAAACTCTCCCAAACTTTCATTTATAGATTGGCTATGGATTATTTTTGTTGACAACTCTCACAAATATAATATGGGGTCAGGGAGCGAATAACAGAAGAATTCTTACAGAATGTTTCCACTTGTGTAAAATCTGAAAGCATGCAAAATTATTGTATTTGTGGCTGTGTACATACGTAGTAATAGATTAATAACGCGCATGGTAACAACTAACACCAAGTTCAGAGTAGTGATGATCTCTGGGAAGAGAAGATGAGGAATGGGATTGGATAGGGCTATAGTTATAGCTGTAATATTCTATTACTGAAAACATGTGAATCAGACCTTTTTTGCAAATTCAGATTTGCTTATCTTGGGTGTAGGGACAGGGATATTGATTATATTATTTTAAATACTTTTTAAGATATTTGAAATATTTGTCACATGTGAAATTTGTTTTTTTCATACAGCACAGGGTTTTACCTTGTAATAAGGAAACTAGCTACAGGCTCCTGTCCAGCACAGCCTGTTAGACCGCAGCTGGTGATCCTTTTGTCACCTCTTTTTGACCTGCACAGCCTAGTTTGCCATGGCTCACTTTTATTTTGGAATTGCTGATAGGTGTGGAGGATTTCCCCATCTTTCTAAACATTCTAATGGACCTAGGTCAGCAGTTTGAGCTTTGTCAAAATATAAGTGCTCCGGGGCATTCTGACTTGTCTTATTGGGAGGGACCCAGAAATCTGATTCTGAAAAAGCTCCCCAGTAGATTCTGATGCCCACTGAAGTTGGAGAAGCACTGCCTTAGACTTCTGACCCTGGGCTGTACTCCATTTCAGTGTTGCCCCAACTAGCCCCCCGGCTGCCTTCTATTGCCCCTCCTGCAGGAGTAGGACTAATTTGGACCCGTGTGATATTTGCTGTTTTGTAGGGCATGAAAGAATGATAGGAGGAGAGAAAGTAGCTGTGTACCACATTTGCCTTTGCATTCTTACAGTGATCACTTGCAGGGGGAAATACAATGTTATTTTTCTCTTCCTATTTCCCCCATACTAGCATTCTTGAATTTCTTTCTTTCTTTTTTTTTTTGTTTTTGAGGAAGATTAGCCTTGAGTTAACTACTGCCAATCCTCCTCTTTTTGCTGAGGAAGACTGGCCCTGAGCTAACATCCATGCTCGTCTTCCTCCACATTTTTTATATGTGGGATGCCTACCACAGCATGGCTTGCCAAGCAGTGCCATGTCCACACCTTGGATCCAAACTAGCAAACCCCGGGCCACTGAAGTGGAACGTGTGCACTTAACCGCTGAGCCACTGGGCCAGCCCCTAGCATTCTTGAATTTCTGAAAACCTGAGGCTTTTTAGCCAATTTTGGAAATATTTACCCATTTGTGTTCCCCATTAAGTGGTTGTTTATGCTTCCTGCTGTTTCATTTTTTCGTGGGTGGAGGAGAAGAGCTGAAGCAAGGACCAAGGCTAGACTTGCCGCTGCTCTCACGCAGAATGCCAGCGTGGTTTTCAGAACAGCTGTGATGGCAGAGTGCTGTTCTGTGGGCTCACGGGAGAGGGACATTTGCAGTGGTTTCAATTGTTTTTTATTATTTTTAAACATGATTGGGGATGATGAATAGAGTTCCATTGTGTTTTTGCTGCTGTCTTGAAGGATTTTTTTTTGAAGGAAAGGTATGTAACTAAAACTAAAAATGTTTAAGAAAAATAGTCTTATGCTCACACGAGGAGAGTAAACAGTTCTCACATATAGGCCTTACCCAAAGTGGTTTGTTTGGTTTTTTATCTGGTTCTCCTTAAATGGTTATTAATGCTGTTCCAGGGACTGGTCAGAACAGTTAGCTGGAGTGATGCTGGGCAGGTGGAGGAGGAGAATGATGGGATCGCACTGGGGTTTATCAGTAGTTCCGTCAGGCCAGGATGTGGAAAGCTGTTCCTGCATTGTCTGCTTTTGTGGTAAAATATGTGTAGAAATAAGAGAGAGATTGTGAATTTTGATATATATAATCATTTGACCCTGTTGAAGGAGGCAAAATACATCCCTGGAAGAGAGAGTAGCAAGCATTGAATTAGTAGGACATTTTGCAGTGCTGTTGGGATGTCCCCTGAGTTGAAAGTTACCTGTCTGTGTCCGTTCTGCTTCAGCCCCTCTGATGTCAGTGTGTGCAGATGGTGCTCACTGATCTTCCATTGAAATGTGTTTTATTGTCCCAGAGCTAGAAAGTGGCACTTTTGAAGGCTTGACAGAGGCAGTAGGCTAGGCTAAAAGTAAAACAAGTATTCATTTCATAATCGGTTTTGCAGATAGGCATTCGGACTCTCATAAAGAACAAAAATTACTTTCCATTTGGCTTTTAGGCTGTTTTGTTTTTTAGAATTTCTAATAGATTTATCTTGCTATGCAGATTTTTGTTGTTGCTGTTGCTGAAAATAATCCATAACCAATGTATAAATGAAAATTTGGGTGAGTTTATTCTGAGCTAAAATGTGAGGACCATGGCCCGGGGCCTTTCTTCCCGAAGGAAGAAAGGGCACCAAACAAGTAGGGTGTGCAGAGTGGTTATATACCCTCAAAGAGGTTGTTTCACATAGGATTGAAATGTCCCTTTTACAATAGTCACGAGACTGCTCTGTTGGCACAGCGATTGATGGGCACAGCATGTAGGTCTGCTGTCTTGGTGGACACAGCAGGATGGCAGTTCTGTTGTCTTGAGCTGGGTGGTGACAGGTGAGCTGGGTGGTCAAAGGTGAGCACAGCAACCAGTTCCTACCCAAGGAAAGATGCTCATCCTTAAGGAAATGCCAATGTGGAGAGAAGTTGAATCTTTATCTTAAGGGCATTTGTTCTTGCCATAGTAAATGTTTAAAGCAGATATACAATGCGTGCTCAGTGGCCATGTCAGGCCCTTTTGGAAAAACAAAGTCAGGCTGAATTAGGTTTATACCAAATGGCTTCCTCATATACTCCAATACATCCTATTGCTTGCCATTTCTATTTGTCACTGCCTCAGTACATATTGGAGCATCTACTATGGGCCAGTAATCCCAGTACTAACCACTGACTCATTGGGGTGATGGCCTTCACTGTCAGAGACTTCATTCCCTGAGGTACTGACAACAGTGCGGAGGAGTGCGCTTCAGCCATTGCTTTCTTTTTTTTCTTCATGCTTCCTTCTGCTTCCTTGCCTTCTGGGCTTGGTGGTGATCTGCCCACCTTTTCTGACAGTCCTGATCCCCTCCTTCTCCCATGGGAAGAGTGCAGAGGCTTTGCAGAACCTTTTGACTGGGCACCCATAAGTAAACCCCTTGAACAGTATTGAGCCAGACTGAGGGCCATCTTAGGGCTCCAGCTTCTCTTCCTTCATTGCTGCCTATGTTGCTACTACCCACCCTTTGCCGTGGAGCCCGGAAAGTGCCCATGCGCGCCCCAGTCATACAAAGAGGCTTTGTGCTCTGAGGACTTTCTAAAGGCAGGATCACTGTAATTACAATTCCCAAAGCACAACCAAGCAGTGGGGGCAGGCAGGGTAAAGGTGGTATCCAAGTACTTGGTAGGGAGAAGCCAGGGGGATTAGGAATCATCTGGAGACGGTACCAGAATGGATAGTGGAGCGTTGTTGACAATTCTGCCAGGAGCTTATTTAATTGAATACATTTCAGTGTTTTAAATTCTAATACTTGGAAGATACTTGAAACTTTAAAAAGCACAAGACAGCCAGAACTTTTTTGTTTTGTTTTAGTGTAAAATTGTAACTGAAAGGTACTTTAGAAGAAGGAATGTGGAAATCTGGGCCTACTTTGCTTTCTGTTTATGTTACTAGAATGATCGATTGCCCAAGAAGCTAAATACATAACTTGCTTACTATACAAGGGGTGCTCTTACTGAGCCTACTTTTTTTTAAGTGTCTAAAAGTAAGCACTGACTGATGTTTTTGGGAGCTGATTTTCCCCTGTCACCACCAGGAAAAAAATCAATAACCTGGGGATATGTGCTTAATAAACTCTTAGATCAACCCTCCTATGTCATGATGTGCTTCCAAGCTCTGTGGAGAATCCGTTAGTGAACACTTTTTTCTTACTATGTTAACTATTAGCATATTACTCTTACTGGTGTCTCAAACAAACTCTTTTTTCTTTTTTTTTTAAGGAATGCACCAAACAGTTGACTACAAAGGTGTCTGTAGGATAGTGGACTCTAATTGTCCTTACTCAAGGTGAGGGGAAGGGGTCCTTTTCACACCTGACGCCTGTGGTGTGTGACGCAGACAGGTAGACAGTGTGTGCTCCATGGAAACCTACAGCTACTGTGAGCTGGCCCTTCCTCTAGTTACCTGTTGGAGGCAGGTCAGGAGTTGGACCTTTATTTTTCCTGTCTAGCATGATTTTGTCCTTTTTGAGGAAATCTGCATTTTTTTATTGACAAATTAAATTGTATATATTTAAAGTGTTTGACACAATGATCTGATATATGTATACATTGTGAAATTATTACCACAATCAGGTTAGTTAATACATCCATCACCTCATATAGTTATGTTTGGTTTTTTTTCAGTGAGAATGCTTAAGATCTACTCTCTTAGCAAATTTCAAGTATACAATACAGTCTTACTAACTATAGTCACTATGCTGTACATTAGATCTTCAGAATTGCTCATCATTCAACTTATAAGTGAAGGCTTATGCCCTTTGACTAGCATCTCCCCATTTCCCCTGCTCCTGAGCCCCTGATAACCACCATTCTCCTCTCTCTGTGAGTTTGACTTTTTAAATTAAAATAAGGTTGTTTTTTTAGATTCCACATACAAGTGAGATCCTATAGCGTTTGTGTTTCTCTGTCTGGCTTATTTCACTTAGCACTATGTCCTCCAGTTTCATCCGTGTTTTTGCAAATGGCAGAATTTC